CACACACGCACGCACACACACACGCACGCACGCACGCACGCACGCACGCACGCACGCACGCACGCACACACGCACGCACGCACGCACGCACGCACGCACGCACGCACGCACGCACGCACACACACACACAAAGACATCCACAAAGACACACCATGGAAGCACGACGAAAAATGGGGGGACCACAGGGGGTGACCCACAATGACTTGACCAAGGACCTGCAGCAGATACGTAACCTCCTTCGAGACGGGAACACCCTCTTCCACATCAGCTCGCTGGCCATGGACTGGGACGCTGTACACAAAGAGGAACACTTCGCACAGCGAGCCGAAGAAGTCTGCAACAACCAACCGCAAAAAGGGGGGGCACTTTCAGGCATCCAAAACTGACGATCAGACCTGGACCACACCGGACCAGCAGGCACAGGACTTGGAGACAGTGGAGCAGCTGGTGCCGAAGAGGAAACGCCCGGGGGCACTCCGCGTCTTTTATACAACATGCAAAGATCTTAACCATATTATAATGTCACCAACAAATTTTAGAATCAGAGTACAAAGGCATACATGTATGTAGAATGTATACATATGTATATACATGTCTATATACATACATACANNATACATACATACATACATATGGTGCCCCCCCATGTACCTACACTTTGCTTGTGTTTCTTGATCAGGGACGGAGCTCAGCGCGTCGATCCTGGATTACCTGATCCAGGGTCCTGGTTTGCACATGTGCCTACTTGCAACTCGTGCTTTCCGTCACAGTCCCAAAACCGCGAGATCGTGCTCTCCCACACAGTCCCAAAGTCGTGCTCTCCCACACAGTCCCAAAGCCGCGAGATCGTGTTCTCCCACACAGTCCCAAAGCCGCGGGATCGTGCTCTCCCACACAGTCTTATAACCTGGAGCCCAATGTCTTGGCACTTGTGATTTCCACATTCCCAAAACACATTCCCAAAACCATGAGGGCTGCAATGTTTTAGGCTTCCGAAGCGCAAAGCCATACTGTCGAAGTTGCTGTCTCAAGCTCTGGCCACACAAAGATTCGATGCGTAGCTTTGGCAATCATGTCCGCCCCCTTCGTTGGAAGCGTGCCAGCCAGAATTGCGCGAATCTTTTTGACTACGCAGAGCCGCTTGGTGAACCGATGCTGTGTGCTCCCACAGAGTGGGAGCGGCGCATAGGAACACTGCTTGACGGATCTTGACCTGCATTTCGATCCTTCCTATGACTCTTTTGTTATTGTGCGGTAGTATTGAACACCTTACGTCCTCGCACAGTGAGAACATCCCTACAAGGATCTGTCGTCTACCGCCTGCGCGACATTTTCTTCAAAATCACCCCTGGCCCGCATGGGAGGGAAGCTGAGTTGACGGCAGAGGACATGTTCAATTTTATGTTGGACCAAACCTGGAACCAGGCTATGTCCACGCACTCAAACCACCGAAGTTAATCGCAAAGGCAGAGAGAGAAATTGCTGAGCGACTGTGTTGGGCTCGCAGCAAACGGGTGACAGTTGTCTCTGACAGAGCTTGCGCAGTTCGTCTTCGTGTTAGCATCACAGGCTCCGTAGTGACACACTGTAGATCCTTGTAGCCGCGAAGACAAAACACGGCATCGGTTGCTCCGCACCGCTCAATCTCTTTGGCGCAGTCGGTAGACGAAACGAATTTAGATGGCAACATCATCTGGGATGAAGCCATCGCCAACACGGACGGCATGAAAGTGGTGGGTTTGGAAAGCCTATGATAGTGAACAAACCCGTAGGATTTGTCAAGATCGGTGACTTGCCTGCCAGAGACGAAATCGATGATGGAATCAAGAAGAAGGTCCAGTTTTTAGATGTCTTTCTTGAGTACGAGGGAACTATCGATTCGAAGGAGGTAGAGACCCTGTTTCTTCAACAGCGCTACGAAGATCTTCCACATCCCAGCAAAGTCCCCGGCAAGAACATGGCCCCATTCACTATGCAGCTGGTAGCGCTACCCGTCGCAGAAGCATCGTCAAACACATCCGGTTTGCTGCAAAGGTCATGCACAACACCATCAGGTCCATATCCGTTGGCCGGGCCCTAGAGATCGATTACCAGAAAAATCTTACAGACGGCAGCCGCGCCTTACAGTGCCTTCTGGAGGGCATGGGTGGTGCCAGGTTCGATACCACAAGCTCGTGCCTGCAAGCAGCAACACCAAGCTTATCAGGGAAGCAGAAGAAATCCGCAAAGGTTTCCAATACATCCGCGAGCATGGCCCCCCGGACAACTCCACTGGCCAGTTCACAACGTGGACGGAAGAGGAGGTAAACAACCCCAACGGCATGCTTTATCGGTGGGACAGGGGCACGATCAAGGAGTTTCTTCGTTGCCCTGCAGATCAGGGCAGCCAGCCCAACACCATTTCCGAATGGCCTTTTTCTTTGGTCGACGTCAAGCCGTGGGCCCTGAACCTTGTCGTTGCGCCGTAGTTGCCATGATTCAAGAGGATAGCTCGGATGACAAGCAACCATCTGGACTATTTCCGCAAAGTGCGTGGGCGTCGCACCAAGCCCAGAGTCTTCGATGACGGGAACCTGATCTTGGAGCAACCTGCATCCGTGAAGGCTGTCGCTGAGGTCTCTGGGATTGATCGTAAGACGATGGCTCGGTACAGCGCTTCTTCCTACGAGAAGAACCAATTCTGCCAAGCATGCTCCAATCCTTACGACCGCAGGGAAGAACCGCCCATGGCCGCGAATGTAAGATCGGATGAGGTTTCGTTTGACATTTTTTCAAGATTGTGCGTCCATCTTTCCACACAGCTTTCAATGATGAAGGTCTGATCGATGTGTTTAAGCGCCCAGCGGTTGTCGTCTTGACAGTCAGACATTGGCATTTACGTCCGTCCTCAAAGCACCAAAAAAGAGCCCGTGAAGCGTCATGCTTGGCCGGACAAGGACTGACTACGGGATGGTGTGCTTGTTTGCCAGGCCTAAGTATCACGTTTACTTGACGGGAAAACTTTCGACCCCCGGAGTAAACCGCGAGCATCTTCAATGGTCCTTGAATTTGCTTCAGGCTGCTCTGGACGGTGAAGTTGTACCCTTTTGCAACACCGTCGCGGGCAAGAGTTCTTTTACTGGCCGAAGGTTCATCCAGGAGAACCGCCCCGAGCTCGCAAGCTTTGACGCCAACACCATCTCCTACCCCGACAATGACCATACCGCTCTTCCCGAAAGGGAACATATAAGTACATATGTACATATACACATATATATGTATATGGATATGGAAATATAGCTAGAATCTGGAGGCATATGTCCTAAGCAGGCATGCAGCACAACATTGAGAAATTATAAATTACAGGGATGTGTTTGGACTCTTAAACTATAAGAGTCCCTTTTCCAAGGCTCGCGAAGCCAAAACGATGGAGCATCCGGAGATTTGTTTGAACACATCAGGTCCCTAGGGCTTGCTCTGGGCATCGTGGTGCTTTTGGCCGGCGTATTGTTTGCGCACATCCTGTCCCTAACGCCGAGCGCTCAGCTCACTTCGGCAGCATGTACTGTATAGGAATTTTTTCACAGCTGCACAGCTGAGGATCATGCCTGGGGCGATTTTTGGGCTGCTGTGGGAGATGCCTGGCATAGGTGGGCTGCTTCCGCATTCGTTGAAGCCAGCGCTTTTTCATGTATGTGTGTATCTCATTCAACACGGTAGGCTTTGGGCAGTGAGCAGGTGACATCCTTTCGCACGCGGTCAAATACCAAATCTTCCATTGGTATTATCCTCAGTCCGACGTGAGTCCAGCATGCCTGCATTGTCAACATCTTACGGGCTACATAGGGAAGGCCATGAACTCCATCATGCAGTTGACCCTTATGCACTTTCATGCTTAAGCGGAGACTTTCAGGAGTCGGACATTGGGGAAGCTTCAGCACTCATGCCAGATGGAACTTAGGCGAAAGTGGTTTGAACATGGCCGCGAATCAGGTGGACTCGGGATGCACGTCGTGCTGATCGCATTTTCTCCCTGCCCACGTGCCTCTGCTTCAGGTGGCTCATGGTCTGACTTTGTCCTGCTCATTGCAGACATTGAGGTGGACGAAGGACAGTGAAATCAAGAATGGCTTCTGTACAGACGTTCAGTGCTTTCACTGCAGGATTTGTGCAAAGCATGCTGAACATGGGTCTGGCAACTGAGACTTCGAAGCGGCATCTGCAAGAAAAGGTGTAAGATGGGACAATCTTGGACATGTTGTGCATTAGGCATGGACGATGGCCATTTATTCATCAAGTTTTATTGCCTGCCCCCCAGCTTCACTGACTTTGATGACTTATGTGACTTATGCTCTGATTGTCCATGATATGATTTCTGACCAAAGGTTCTGAGACTCCGCAAGATGTGTCAGCCACAAGAAGTCAGGCGGTGCAGTGGGAAGGTGCCCATCGAGCATGCTGCCAATGTGATGTACTTGTGGGAGCGCCATTACTTAGTTAGCCCTACAGCGGGCATACTGAAGACGTAGTTTGCCCGCCCCACACTAGTTGCAGCGGCATTAAGAACCTATAGATGAAAGGACTTTCGGAACGGATTCAAACCACAAACAAAGTTTGTTGGGGAACGGATCCGGCCAGCATCGAACGACCCGAAGGCAAGGGCATGTAGTGGAAAAGGATGCTCTGATTTGAGTTGAAGTGGAAGCTTAGTAGGCTTGGTGAAGGTCTGCACGACGGCTCAAGGTAATGAAGGTGTCCCAAACCCCACCTGTCTTCGTGAGGCGGTTCTTGGATACTTCACTTTCCGCCTACTAGCTGGCTTTCGTTGTAGCCTCCCAGTGTTGGAACCCCGAACGCTGAGACTGCTGTCTGCCATGAGGTGCTGATGACGGCTTGGTGCAGAAGTTCGATGGTCCGAAGCACAGTCCCGTATCGGTCGCGAGCAGCATAAATTCGAGTCTTCAGGCGAAGATATCTTTGTCAACTTCACGAACCCCCTTGCACTCCTGCGTGTCCACTTCTGAGTCAGCTTAATATATCCAGACACCATCGCGACATCTTGGAGAATTCAAGACCGATGAAGCTGAGCATTTCAGGTAGATGTCATGTTCCAGGAGGAGACAGCCAATCGGCCAGAGTGTGTGGCAACCACGATATGGGATCCCTGGTGCTGTGGCAACTTTACGAAGCAGACGTCTGCTGATGGTGCACTCGCTCGACAAATTTTTCTGCACGTTTGACACGCGACAGGTGTGCGAAGTTGCTCAACAAGTACTTCTCCAATTTTGCATTGCTCGCATCTCAGAAAGACGAGCGGTTGCGACCTGCGGCACAGCCTGTACAATGTAATCGGCCGATGCAAGGCGCTGCCCGTCAAGTTTTTTCATCCTGTCCCACACCTCCAAATCTGTTGTTGACGCGCGCTGTGCTATGGCATCAGATTTGCCAGCCACTGTTTTTCTCGCAAAAGCAGGGAAGCCAAGGTGGGGGTCAAGGGCCAAGGGCCGCGGGCTGCTGCGGCTGCTGCTGCTGCTACTGCTGCTGCTGCTGCTACTTCGTGAACGGGTTTCTGCGCATGCTGCACTTCATCTACGCAAGCGGACGGAAGGATGCGCGGCGTTTCGTCCTGACCCAGGGAGAACGCACATGTGCAGGACTCGGGAGTGAAGCTATTAAGAGCACACCGGCATTTAATTGTCAAGGCAAGCTCGTGGTACCCGACCTGTGCTGTCCCGTATGACGGCTGGCTCGTCTTTACGACTAAGTATGTTCACCTGTTTGCTGGCTGGTGAGGCTCGTTAATTAAATGTATTATGCTGGTTCCGCGACAGGCTGGTTCTGAAATTTCATGCGTCGTCTTAACGGACAGAGTTTCAAACAACAGCTGACAAGTCGTTCTTCTCAAGCTTTCCGCAAAAGAACAAGCCGTCCGTGTCCGAACGGAAGACTGGCAGGCGATATTGGTACTGGTACATGTTCCTGCTGACTTGGCGTAGGTGGAATGCAAGGTGACTCGCATGAGAAGGATGTTGAAAGTCCGTCTGCTGCTGTAGTCACGTTTCTTCTCGCAGGTTCCTTTCATTCATATGATCTCATGCCGAGTTTTCTGCATTGTCCAAGCACGGTAGCGGCAAACTACCAGTCGTGGGCTGCACACGCGCAGCACTGTTTATCGTACCAGCACACAAAGATGGGAGTTGCTTCCAGTCTGCTCTTCCAATCCGAGCAGCGAATGTCCGACAAAGAGAGTTCTGTATTTCCCCGCCGGCCCCACCCAGACAGGGTAGGACGGTGTGACCGCCCCCCTTCAGAATATATCTCTAGACGCCCACCCTTGGAATCTGTTGGGAACCTGTTACGGGGAACTGTCGAACCGAGTTGCTGCAAAATCAAAGAGCATATTCGGAACCTCTTCACAGCCAGCATTGTAGCCAACTTTGGAGTGAGAGGTTGACTGGGGATTGTCGTTCGTGGTTTTGCAAGTCGACAGTTGCCAACGCCGGTTCCTGACCTGTGTTGGTGAGACACAAAAGAGGTTTGTGGGCTGCTGACAGAGAACGGACGCCGCTGTGGAAGTGAGGCAAGCACGCACGTAGCCGAATACTTTCTCCTTTCGAAAGGGCTTCCCTCCAAGCCTGCGTCGTGGCCCCGTATCAAGTTTTGCTGGCTCAGCAGCATGCACATCTGTGTGACCACGCAGAACTGCTCACATTCCTTTTCAGAGCATGCATTCTGTTCCTGCGGCAACCCTGCCACTGTTCCAAGTCGGGGATCGTTCCAGGTCAGGTTTCATAGAACTCCCTCACATTGGCGACCGTCCCTTTGACTTAAAAGAAGAGAGAATCGTGTGCTGTACGTATACTTCTGCCCGGGCCTTCTCCCGGTAGACCAGACCCAGTTGAGGTGCGATGCTCGATCGGACCACACTGATTTCTGGAACCTTTGTCAGAGTTGAGTAACGTTTTACACTTTTATGGGTACTTAAACACAGTAATCCCAACCATGAACTAGGAACCCGAAGGATGTGCGTGGATCTGAGCAGGAAGAGCTCCTTGTGTCATCACGAGTTTTGCTGAATACTGCTCATCGTAGGTTTCACCCAGATGGCCGGCCAATTGATGGCGTCTTTCTGGAGCTTGAGCTGGGCCCTTGTCATCGTATCGCGTGCGCAAGTAAGGCATGCCTACCTGCATCTTTTTTTGTGATCTCTGGTGCTTGACGCAACTTCATCTCTCAAGGTTAAATCTGACTCGGCATCGGACAGAGAAGTCCTCAGAAATGGAGACTACAGCTTCGTGGAACCACACTTTTGCCCGACATTGTCAGCGGATGCTGTCCTAAGGACTGTGGTCCGGAAATGGGACTTCTAAGGCTGGTCTCGCTCGGGTGCTGTTCAAAACGTGACCGTTTCATGCCGCATCGCAAGCCACGAGGTTTCATGCCACACATATGGGTGGCTTCGGTAGCAAGCGCCAGAGCCGGCTGCATCCGTGGGAGAAGTCAGACTCCAAGCGTGCTGCGTGTGAGTGGAAAATGCAGTGACTGCCGGCTACGACAGGCCTGAAAAGCTCTTGGCGCAGCGATCTCAGCTAACTCTTCTCTTGGCTCTAGTAGGATCTGGTCGTGCTTGGCGCGGGGTTTGCCGGCTTTTGCCAGGCTTGGTGACACAATCCCTGGACGAAACAACATCTATTGGAGGCCAACTCCTCGGCGTCGCCACGACAAGAAGTTTCCCAAAGCTTCCGAGCTGCAGGAGACCGGTTGTTGATGTGAGGAAGACGGACTTTCAAGATGGCCGGTTCCATCGAGTCTGCTACTCTGCTCCATTCTGCGATTGGTCGGTCTTACATTGTCCCCTTAGGCTCCTGAGGAAGAGGAGGAGGAGCAGCGCGGGGCTAATCTGAGTGACCATATTTCGACATGAACGGTGAAGAGGTGTAAGTTTTGGGTTTTGTCGAGAAGCCAGTATACAGACTTGATGCATCTCGTGCTCAGGCGCCGCATGGCCCATAGGCAGGAGTTGCGGCATCAGCTCGAACATCAACAGCATCAGCAAACACCTCGCCCTCGCTCTCCTCGCTCTCCATCTTGGAGGCACAAGGTTTGGGGTTACGTTTTTCTGATGACTGAAGAAGTGCGCAGGAGCGGGCGTGGAGCTCGCCAACTTTCGTCGGCATTCTAGTCGTGTCAGCAAGAAGTGGATGAACCAAGAGCTCTCACCCGGAAATCTTCCATGTATCACGTCGCCCAAAGGAATCAGTGATGCGTCGGCTTACATGCATTGGCACATGACCCCATGTGTCAAGTATTCGACATGACATTGATGGAGGGATTTGTGCATGTTAATGCCAACGGTGCGGTGCCTGCTCTCAGAACCCACTGGTTCGGCAGGTCTCAGTCTGTTGCATTGTCGCAGGCAGATGCCACAAGACCAACAAGTCCAAGGCCAAGGATCTGCACTTACACCACTTCGTTTATACTGTAGTGCATTGTTTGAGCTTGAAGCTGGCAGCGCCTGGGTATCAGACTTTTCGTGCTTCCTAGGCGGACGCCTACCTCACTTTGTTACGTTGCCGGCTGAGACATCCGAGAGCATTGCAGATCGCTTGTACTGGCAGGGATGTGCCACACGGAACTGGGTCGCACGCTTGCCTGTGGATGGAGGTTTTCTGGCGCGAGTGGTAGTGCCAGACCAGTTGCCGTGCTGCTGGCATTTTTCAATGCGCATCCGCAACAGAGGTTGGAAGACAATCATGCGAGGTACAGGCTTCTCGCCATGAGGTGGACGACTGTTCGCCAACTCCCAGTGCGTCCCTTCTGCTTCTCTTTTCGCGCCTCTCTGCGTTGCCAGAGCTGAGGCCTGATGTCGGATTTCTTGAACGATCTGTCCGCGGCCCAGCCAAGCCATGCGACACTCAGGGACCGGGTTGCAGACTTCACTAACATGTAGCTGAGATTGGGCGGAACGATCAAGGATGACAGTTCCATGACATCAACTTGACACCGAGTCGTTGACAACCTTCCGGGGGCCTTCGTCGGAACGGAACTGGTCTGTTCCGAAGGAAGTGGTTAGGCTTGAGCTACTGAAGCGGCTCACACCGCAGCAACAGGAGCAGCAAACGACACTGTTTGGATGCCCCTGAAGCATCCGGAATCATTTTTCGCAAAGGTAGAGGCGTGCTGCAAACACAATTTTGCAACGGCAACAACTTGTTTACTGCAGAACTTCTGGGACTTACCTGCTTTGCAGTACTGCAGGAGCTGCATTGAGGCAGTGCAGAGAGCTCAGGTTCCCGACGAGCCCTCAAAGGTGAGTGAGCCTTAGGGACACGTCGCTGCAAGGATGGGGCACCAATGGACAGACCCAGTGATACGTTCGAACTTACTCGAAGTGGAAACGGACTGATCTGCTTAGCCTCGCTTTCAGTGGCTGTTACTGGTTGACATAATTAGGTCCTCTGCACGTGCTACCTCCATGCTGCAAGATGCAGTGTGGAAACCGACTGCAAGATGCAGTCTGGAAGTCGTCGAATTTTTTGACTACTGTCTTGTGGAGCAGAGCATGCTAAAGCTGCATGTTGCCCTGACCCATACCTTCATCATTGTGATTTCTAGGCACGCGCTGATCCCAGCGTCGCAAGTTGCAGCTCGACAAAGTGCAGCCGCAGAGAGACGGAGGCAGAGTTTTTTGATACTGTTTTGTGGTGGCAGTGACCGAAACCCCAGAGCTTGAACATGACGGCACATCGCTGCTCTCCCAATCTGATGTGCGCTTACGGCACCCAACGCGAGGCAGAGTGCCATGTTGAATGTGATCGCTTGAGTCCGGACTTGAGTCCGCAGCCATGCCATGCCGAGGCACAAGCATAAAGGGTGGAGGTCGCATGGCAGATGCTTTGGTTCGCTCACGTTGAACATGCACATGTTTGGGCCAGAATCGATCATGGTTGGACTTGAGGTTCTACTGGGCAAACATTACAACACTCGTATGATGGCGGGTTCATGCACGGAATGCCACCACAATCCTGTAAACTTGAGAATCGAACGTTGAGAAGCGGACATCGAACAACTGGAATATCAGAATGTTAGACAGTTGCCAAACTTGGGATGAAGAAAGTTTTAATGGGAGATGAAAACTGAAACTGGGCTGGAAATGAACAGTTGCAAGATGAATGTGGGAAAGCGTGAAAGCTTTGCCCAGGGCGCATGCAAGTCCAGTTTCCGCCTATTTCATGTCAGC